CTCATGCTTTTTAAGGCAGAGATCACCACCGCTCCAAGAAACCCATACATATACATTAAGAGATTGACATGCAACTTCAGAGGATTCAGAAAGATCTTCCACCCTTGGTTGTAATCTCTAGAACTAAAGAACACCACAAGAGCCGGTGTTTACCGACGGTTTACTGTCTACCACGCACTGTGCCAAGCACCTGGCAGGGCTTAACCCTTTTATAGGACACAGGGTGAGGGGTGAAGTGGTCCTGCAGCACTCCAATCTCCAAGTCGCTCCAAGGCTTCCACTGCACTTTGCCGAGGCCGCTTGAAGACGCTGGACGGCCAGCATTATGTAATTCTGACTTGCACAAGCTCTGCCTCCCCCTAATCGGCGCTGTGAATGTGCTGACTCTCTGGCCCAGGGCCACACCTTCAGAGAACGCACTGATGCTGCTGCTGGCTGCCCCAGAAGACAACAGAAATGAGGATCTCCTGTCCGCCACACCCTGGCAAATTCTGCAAAGATGGAAACTGAGAACCCGCTTCCCGCTTGCCACCTTCCCCACTGTACCACTGGGTGATTCAGCCTTCCTTCTCCTACAGGAATCACCATTGTTAACCCCATTCCCACCCCCCCCCCTCCTTCCTCCACTATCTTTGAGCCTGCCTCCTGAACACCTGGGTGGGCAAAATCTTGGGAGCAGGGGTGAACTTCCAGAGCCTCCCTGGTCCCGTAAGGGAGACAAAAGGATACACCTGTGAAACTTGCCTGGCCTAAGGCCAGCTGGGAAACACCACTAATGACTGCTATTAGGGTCAACTGCCTTCTTCCCCAACTCTATTTTCTAGCACATTCTATGTGTAGTCAGAGCAACCCCAAAGGCTTTGCTTTTCTTCTTGAATATTTAGGCTGGAGATCCACCAGATTTAGGACTCCCCTCACACTGTGCAGACACAGGTCTCTAGCTATACAGTGTTTGGTTCTGGTGCTTTATTTAAAGGAGAGGCTGTTTCACAAACAAAGCAAACCCAAATACTTCAGAACAATAAAGAAATGCACTGTACACATTGAAATGCTCTCTGAACAGTTAGCCAACTAAATGCAAACAAGATCTCTTTATTCCCAGTCTGGGAACAGTTACTCTTTGAAGTAACTTAATATCATACCTGAACCTCCCAACTTATACACCAGGAGAGGCAGGCTGCATTATTCTCACCAGTGATTGGCTAGTCACTTCTAAATCACACACTGCAAAGTCACGTCCTCTAAATGATGGCGCAGATATAGGACACTCCCAAGCCAGCAACAACTTTTAAAAATAGAGTCTGCTTTTAGAATTTAAGACAAACTCTTCTCTCATACAAATGGGCTAAAAATGTAACCCCAAGCTTGCTGAGGCCTGCCTGGGTAGGGGGGCAGGGTTAGGACGTGGGATCAGGACAAGTGCAAGCTACCAACTCTGGGGAGTGTCCACTCATCTGGAAGTTTCTAAGAGGTTCTAGCACAGTAATCACAGACCATCATGCCACTCCATGTTCTGAGCCTCTATTCTCACATCAGGAAAAAAGGGCTCTTCTGCACCCCACCCAACCTCATACACAAATGTGTCCCTGCCCCTTGCTTAGCTAGGTGGAGAATGGTGAGAGGGAAACTTGGAGCAAATGTCTAGGCCTCCCAGGCCTAACCACAGGTTAGGCATCATTTGTCTGTCTGGTACTGATGTTCTTGCTCCATCCTGTGAGGGCTGGGACTCTATCTTAATCCCCATGGTAACCCCCTTCTTCTAGAGGCTCAACTGGGAGAGCTATTTGGGAAATAAAGCTATATGAGAAGTTTTAGACTGTCTCGCTGTCTACAGGGTTCATAGATTGGCATCTGAATGCAAGACACACACAGGCACAGGCACAGACAGGAGCCTGGCAGGTCTTATTGCCAAGCCCACCCCAAGTCAGACAGGCAGCCATCAATTCTCAGTCCGTAATGTGCATCACCCCTCCCCCCACCCCGCATGACATCTTCCCTGATACATAAACACAATCTATAAAACGCAAAGCAAGAAGTCAAGGGTCAGACTCCTGGAGAGAACTCACGCTACTCCTCCACTGCACTTCTCAAATTCGAGAACTGCCTTAAAATTAACAAGGCCTGTCAACGTAGCTTTTACCCAACCAGCTAAGACTGAGTGGAGGCTGAAGGGGGGACCTGTGCTCACCTGTTCAAGACAGTCTCCATCCCTCCCCACCTGCCCTGGCAGGCACCTTCCCACAGCTGCTCCTCCTCCTGCGGGTTCAAACCAACCAGGGGCCCAGGACCCAGCATTTAACTCAGGGTTATTCTTCTAAAAACACCAGGTGAGCAGAGGCTGCTTGCCATCCTCCCAACCTTTCCTGCAAGCCTGGCTTCTGCCTGCTGCGAAACTAACCTTCTCTTTCTCAGTCATGTAGACATGACACTCCTCCTCCTAACACCTTGAAGGTGCTGGATGGGAGCAGCAGCAACAAGGAAAGAGAACGTATGGAAGGAAATGGAAAGCCTAACCGTGGCCATGGAGCTGAGTCCTGGTCCAGATAGTGGGCCAACCTCGCTGCACGCCCATGTCCTCCACAAAGGAATATCTCCGGCCCTCCATGAAGGAATGCTATCCACCTGCCCGCTGCTGTCCTGAAATGCCCACAGGAAAGGACAGTGTCATTGCTGAATTCCCTTAGGGGAAAAGAGGGGAAAATGGCTCCCTGCAGAGATAGAACCTGAAGGGCAAGCTGTCCACCTCTGGTAGAGCCATTCTACTTCCTGACTCCATTTTCCCAAAAAGGGATGAACTGAATTCATCCAGGAGATAGCAAGGAAAAGTATCTTCCTCCCAGGAAAATTTGTTCTGTACAAACAACCTAATTAAAAGACATTTCGTTCCCATGTTATTTTTTTTTTTAACAAAGTTCTATGTATGATCTGGGTGTCTTCATTTATCAATCAGCCAATCATATTTTAAAATCCCTACGGGCCAAATTCTGGAAGCAAAGATCCTGGTTTCCACAAAGCAGCAAGTGGGTGGGGTCATAGGAGAGCTCCAGGTGGAGAGTGGTGAGAGGGAAACTTGGGAGCAAATTTCTAGGCCTCAGTTTCCTCCAGGCCTCAGTTTCCCCGGGGGAGAGGGGCTGCAGATGCCTTCAGCCAGCCTTCTTGAGTGGCGACTCCACTTCAGAAAGACATCCCGCCAGTCAGGAACTGTAGTGGGGGCTGCACTGTGTGGCGACCCTAGCCTGCAGTCAGAAATGGCAGCTATAAAAGAGGAGCTGGGGGACTGCGAGTCCCCCCTTCAGTCTCCTTCCAGTGGCTTTCAAAAGCCACAACTTCACTCCCGAAAACTCTGGATGACTGCACTTACCCAACGTGGACGTGGAAAGGGGGCCCAGCTACCACCGAGGTGCTGCGCTTCCCCCAGGAGCCCCCGACAGGAAGCCCCCCGAAGCTGGCCCCAGCTCCCCCCCCCCCCAACCCTTCCGCCACTTCCCTCGGTGGCGGCGCGCGGACCACCAGCCGCCAGCAGCAGACAACCAACCGAACCAGAGCCTTTGGCGGCGACACCGGCCGCTCCCGCCGCTCCGCGGGGCAGGACGTGCAGGCATCGAGATGCCGGAGATCTCCGAGGCCGGGAATCCCGAGCCGGCACCGGCGCGCGCGCCGGCCGCCCCGATCGCCCGGAGCAGGCGGAAGGCTTGGCCGCCGCGCTCCATTCATTCCCCCAAGGCCGGGCTCCCTTCGCCCCGGCGCCTCCCCGGGCGATCCGGGGAGGGAGGGCAGGCCGGGCTCCATCCCGCCTCACGATCCACCCCCGGCCACCGTGCCCTCCCCACCGGCACGCACAGCCCAGCAGGCTCGCACCCCATCACGGTCGCCCGCGTCCCCCTCCCCCCCCCCCCGTCCCCGCGCCGAGCTGCCGCCTTCCCGGCTCCCCACGGCCTCGCCGCCCGCAGCCGGGCTCCCCGCCGCGCGGCGCAGACCCGCCGGCTCGCCGCGCCGCGCCCAGGCTGGCGGGGGCGCCGCTGCGGAACGCCGGCCACTCCGGAGTCCCCGCGCCCGGGGAGGCGCGGGGCGCGGGGGGCGGCGGGCCGCGAAGAAAAGGCCCGAAGCAAAAGTTGAGGTCGCTCGGGGTTCGGCCGCACCTTCGTTCCCAAGACCCCCCCCCTCCTCCGCGATCCCCTCCCGGGAATCCGAGTCCCAAGGGCGTCGGCGCCTGGGGGTCCTCGTCAATGCCTCCCCCGCCCCCCGCCTTCCCGCCCGGACAGACCGAGCGTCCGGGGCTAGGGGCTGGCGGCGGACACCCACCTACCTTCCCCGGGCAGCGCCTGGGAACTTCCCCGAAGTGCGCGGGGAGGGGACCCCCGACCTCCACGTTCCCCGGGGGCGCGCGCACGGCGCCGCGGCTCCCTTCAGTCCGTCCGTCCGTCCGCCCGCCGCGCTCAGCCGGGCGGAGCGGGGACACCGCTTCCGACTCGTGGGGCGATTCTGCGGGACAGCCGGCCCGGCGGGTGCGCGCCCCGCGGCGTGCGTGCTCCGCCGGCCTCCCGGCGGGCGGTCCACGGCACCACCGCGCCACCGCCCGGCCCGTGTCCCGGAGCTCCGGCCACCTTCCCGCGGCCAGGGAGGGGGCGTGCGAGCCCCGCGCCGCGCCGCCGGCCGGCCTTTCCCCCCCGGAGAGCGGTCGGGACCGGCGGCAAGGGGACGCCGCCCACTGGAGGGGGGGTGGGGGTCGCAAAATGCCGGGAGCCGCCGGGCCGGGCCGGGGCGAGGAGCGCGGGGCCCAAACCTGCCTGGGCTCGGCGCGCTCGCAAGTTCATTGTCTGCCTGGGCCGTCGCCGCCTCCGCGCCGCGGGAAGTGAGGCTGCGCGCAGCCTCCGCCGCCGGGACTCCGGCTCCCCGGCCCGAAGCCGCAGAGCCGAGCCCGAAACCGGACCTCCGCCCGCCGCCGCTCAGAACCCCCTCCCGGCACCCGCACCCCCACCCCACCCCACCCCGACTTGTACCTGAAAAGCCCGACGCCAGCCCGGAAGCCTCCGCCGCTCCGGCTTCCGCGGGAGCGCGCCCAGCCCCGCGCCCGGAGCCCCGCATCCAGGGCGCGTCAACCTGACTTGCCCGAGAAGCGCAGGGAGGAAAAGTTTGGGAGTGACGTGCCGAGGGCGAATGGAACCTCCCCGCGCGGGGCCCGCCCCCCGCCCCGCGCGGCGCTCACACCCCGCGGCGCGGGGCTGGAACGTGAGATCCCGGCGGGTGCGGCCGGGCGGGGGGCTCGGTCGGTCTCCGCCCCGTCCCCGGCCAAGTAAACACGGCTCGTGCGACGCCCTGATTCCGGAGGAGCGAGCCCCGGGCCCCCACGTCTGCCGGGGACACACCCCCGCCACCAGCAGCGCCACCCGCACGCGCGCGCGCCGGAGACGTTGTTAAGGAACTTGGCGCTCTGGAAGCGGCCCATACATTGATATTCAAGGCCATGGCGCTGGTGGGTTCGGCGCCCTCTGTTGTATTTCTTGCAGCCTGCGAAGAAGGCTGGCCGGGCTCCTCGGAGGCCCAGTGTGTTTGCTTCTTCGGGGAAGTAAGACTCCGCCGGACCCCGAGGGGCCACCGCCGGCCGCGGGGGACAGCGGAAGACCCGCTGCTCCGTGGAGCCGCCTGGGCCGATCTGGGGCAAGGAAGGGGCTTCTTCCGTCCGGGGCTGAAAATGCCAATCCGATCACGAAAGGACACTTGAAACTAAAGGTTCACGAACCCGCGAAGGGCTCTAGTAACGCCAAGCCCAGTCCCCAGGAACCGACTCGGAGGGTCAGGAAGGAAGCCTCCGGGTTTAACCTATCCCGTGTTCACAGCTAGAACCAGAACAAGTGCCTGGCATGGGTGAGGGGTGATTCTGGACTGCACCTTTTCGTCTTCCCTAGCCCCCCCACCACCTCCAAGCTAAAACCACCCCGAGATCCTAAACTTCCGCTCTGCAACCATGGCAACTAATTCAGAAGTCAAAATCAGGAGTATAAGTGCAGATGGGGACCCAGGATGACAGGGGAGTTCTTTAAACCCCGTCTTGTTTTCCTACAAGTAATGCCTCTTACATAAAACCCGCGAGGAAAAGATTAATGCAGCAATGAGACAGCCTTCGAATCGCAGCCTAGATTGCTTTTTTTCCCCCATGTAGACTCTGCTCGGTGATTTTGTTCTTTATTATTTTTTTAAAACAAAAACCTTTTTTTTTTTTTTTCTGAAAACACAATGAGCCGCTTTTTGCAGGGTTCACAATTCCCAATAGATGATGATGCCATTTTTCAAGGTCTTACACACGCTGTGGCTTTAGGGCTTATTTATTAGCTCCCAAGAAAAGCCTGCCTTTCAGTGAGGTTTATATATGCGAGTAATTGCACCAGGAACACAGTGCAGGGTGCTGTTAAAGAGGGTGAGTCTTACAGGCGTCTGCGAGGAAGGCCCTGGGCCAGGCAGCTGTCGGAGCAGAGTGTGGAGCCCGTTTAAGCAAACACAGGGAAGGTTCAATGGAAACAGCGAGGAGGAAAATCCCTCCATAAGGGCGTGTGGAACATGACTCCAGGGCCACACATACAGGCCTCTCCTCTCCTCCATCCATGTGAACTCATGCCCCCTCACCCGCCTGGGGATGGCACAGAGCCCACCGGATGACTTTCAAATTCAGGTGTCAGAAATCACGGCTGATGTGGAACAAATTGTTTTTTAAGTAAAATTGTGGTGCTGCTTTGATATGAGTCCTCCCCGAGACTTTCCAGTGGCATTACATGTGGGTCAGATTAGCTGCAGAGAGGTCTCCCTTCCACACCCCAAACTTTAATTTAAAAAAAATGAATTTCATTTAGGCCTGTTATTCTAGAAAGCTCTGAGAACATCCAAATGTCAGGTGTGTGGGTGTGATGGTGAATAGAAGAGTAGATGGACAGATGCATGCATAACTGCGCCTCCATTCATGCTGACAGAGGTATGGCCATTCACAGGAGATAACAAGGCAGATAATTGTAAAAAGGCAGCATACCCTCCCCAAGTCTTGGACCTCTATGATTAAAGGTCGTCATTGCCTGGGGTCCAACTCTACTTCTGCCACCTACTAAGTCAGTGGCCATGAGCAAGTCACACCTTTCTGAGCCTCCAGTGGTAACTGAATTACTGATCCCAGCTCTCCTGCCATGATGGTCACATTCATATGCTTTGTGTTCCCATAATGAAATACCTGGGGCTGAGTCCACTTTAGAGAAAAGAGGTTTAATGAGGCCACTGTTAAAGAAGCTCAAGAACCAATCATGGTCTTCTTACTGGAAGAAATGCCAAGATAACTCAGTGCATCACAGAGTGTGTTAGGCTGGGCTTGCTTATGTTTCAGAGGTCCACTGTGAGAAAAAAATGTTCCAAGTAGCAGCTTCCCCTTCCAGCAAGACTTCAGTACAAACTTGCATGGAACAGATCTGAGTTCTACAGGCAAGCTACAAGGAAGTCCCTGCTACAGCTGTACTCAAAGGTGCTTCAGCCAGCCTACAAGCACATAAATGTGGAAAAAATGCCACTACCGACCATTTCATTACACTGCATTATTATGGCAGAATCCAATTAATACATCCCCCTATCAGGCCGATGGACAGATTAATGACAAATATCTAAAACATACTAAGTGCAATTCTTGGCACATAGTAAGAGCTCCAACTATTAATAGTATCATTAGTAATCACTATTACCAAAAGTTGTTTTGCATGCAATAGTCACATCATAGTTGTCAATGGATTAACTGAATAAGTGAACAGTGTGACTCGGATTTTATGAGAGGAATGTGAAAAGTCATCTGGCCGCAATATCTGTCACCTTTTTCATTGGAAATGTCTGTATTACAGTGTTACATAAGAATAAAGATATCAATTAGAAAGGAACTCGTTAGGCAGTTTACTTCTGCAGAAAGATGTGGTTGATAGGAAGCCAAGTAAGCAAGCATACAAGTAGGAGTATGCTCAGTTTTTAATCCCTAATGATGTTACTGTTGTTTGCTCTGATTGGTTACAATTTAGGTTCACAATCTTGCATGACTGAATAGCTTGAAAGGGTTAAAAGATTGTTGGGTTTTTTTTCTCCAAACAAACCACCAAAACCAGGATACCTTGCCAAAGCAGGAACTTGTCAGAAAAGTAATTCTTTTTTTTTTTTCTTTTTTTTTTTTTAATTTAATTTAATTTTATTTGTGAACATACTGTACAGAGGAGTTACAGAAAAGTAATTCTTACTCAACTGGTGCTCTACCATGTGAGCCAAGCCTCCGGCCCCTAAAAAAGCAATTCTTATCACAGCATGTGGCTTACCCAAAATAGCTTCCAGTAAGATGGCAGCTGCCCTTCAAATAGCAATGCATATGTCAAGCGGCCACTTTGACAGAAAACATTCTGACTCCTGTACCACTGATTGGCAGGGTTGATTCCGCTGATCTGTCTGGCTAGGTCAGCATCCCTTTCCTCCCTCCCTGCTCCGTGTGAGTCCCTCCTGAAGCTGCATGCTCACTCAAGGTAGATGATCTTCAAGGAAAGAAAACTTCAGGATCTACAATGATCCTGCCAGAAACTCCTAAGAAATGCTCAAGCTTGTATAAGACACAGTGAGACAATATCAGACCAGAAAGCTATGGCCCCACCAACCTCCTTGAAATAACATCCAACCATCCATTCATTCAACAGACATTCTCTGACTCACACTTAGGGTTGGCTGATGGAGCTACTATAATGACTGTCAGTCCCTCCTAAGCAAAGAGTCCTACAAAGCCCCACCAGGTGACAAGGAATCACCTGCTCATACTACATCATTCGACCCTCAAACAACCTTCAAGGTTACCATTGCACACTCCATTCTTCAGACCAGCAGACTGATACTCAGAAACCACCAACACTTAGAAAAAATATCAAAGGCCACTCCCAGGCCATCAGCATTCCCCAGTGCCTGTGAATGCAGGTTATCGATGGCCAGGCACATCAAGAGCATGTAGAGGGACACAGGAAAGGAAGAACCTTGCACCTACCTGTCACACCCTGTGCCCCATGCAGGCAGGGTCTTAGTAAATGTAAGATACACCGACCCAGGCTCTGCCTCTGCCACTATAAAGGGTGTGCATGGGCACATGGGGAACTCTGAAGCCATGGTATAGACTCACAGATTCGTTTTAGCAGGCCTAGCTTCAGATTCCTGCCTCCTCTGCTACCAGCCACGACCTGCCTCCTACCCTGTGACTTTGACAAATTTAGCCTGCTCGGTAACCTGAAGTGCATTTCAATTTCATAAATTTAGAAATACTCTGGTTAGGCAGATCCTTTCCACAGTAATGCATCCATTAAGTGCACTTTAAGCCAATTTTGGTATGCTAATCCATCACAAATCGACGTGAAATTTGGGTTCTTGTGAAAATTTCCTACACCCGATCCAAAACCTCTACAAGATTTAGGATAATAGGTAGCGATTCCTTAAAGTGGCAGACTTGACTGCACCGAATCTTCAGAGAAGAATGGACAGGGCTAGTTTTAAATGAACATCTACCCTTGTAATTGTCACAGGAGAGCTGTTCAATGGAATGCCCGGGAAAGTGGGGAAGGGGTGCTTGTTCCAAAAATGCTACAGCAGCTGTACAGACCTCTTTCAGACCTTTGGGGTCATGGATCCACGTGCCTACATTCCCTGCCACTCCGTCACAGCCTGACACGAAGACCTGCCCGGTAGGTGTTCGGCAACTACCCCAGGAATGGCCTGTCTGGATTGGGGACTTTTTCATCAAGCTTCCCACAATTGTCTCTGTTCCCTAAGAGCCCCATCAATAAAGATGAAGGATGCTAAAGTCACGGGCACAACCCTCTGAAGGACAATCAAATGAGGACCCTCGCAGTTTTAGCAATGACACACGACAGGACAGTGCACCTGTTCACACACAGTCTCTGAGTCGGGAGGGAGCACATGCCCGGTAATTGGCACTACAAAGAATCCACGGGTGATGAAAGAGACACAATGTCATTGTTATCACCACCTAGGACTCTGTGGCTACCCATTGTTGAAGGGCAGTGCCTATTAACTAGATGTTTTTAGTGGCATAATAGACATTTTGCCAATAAGATAAAGTTTACAGCCTGGCGAGTTCTACTTACTTGCTTCTGTCATAAGATCTACAACCCACCCAACAACAAAATGAGCTGT